CTGGAGTGCTGGAGTGCAGTGGCATGATCTTGACTCAATGCAACCTCCGCCTCCTGGGTTCAAGTGATTCTTGTGCCTCAGCCTCCTGACTAGCTGGGATTATAGGCACGTGCCACCACACCTGGCTAATTTTTGGATTTTTGGTAGAGATGGAGTTTCACCATGTTGGCCAAGACTGATCTGAACTCCTGACCTCAAGTGATCCACCTGCCTCAGCCTCCCAGAGTTCTGGGAACTACAGGCATGAGCCACCCCACCCAGCTGGATTTCATATATATTCAGATTTAAAGGAAGTTTGTGGAAGTTGAATTCTTAATTCTGAGTGGTGGTGTGATTTCTAGAGAATTCTCTGGTCAAATGATCCCTATCATGATGACCAGTTTTGTATTTTTAACTGTGGGCCCTGTGAAATGTACCAAAAGGACTGCTTGCACCTTTCCCTTTAGGAATACCTCTTCAGATTCCCGAGGCAGACCTAACGATAGGAGTATTTTCACATTACTTGTTTAAAAATTTTAGAAATTTTAAAAGTGAAGTTGAAAGAAAGAGCAAGTCTTCTTGAAGCAATCCCGGTGACGCAGATGGCTTCTTATTTTTAACTTAAGAGCACTTGTTCCAGGACTGTGGACAAACTGTAGCTGTTGCCATAGAAACACTCTCAGTCCAGATAGGAACAAAACATTCGGTCCATCCAGTTTCTCTGCCTCTTAGTTTTTGTTGCCAGGATCAGTCCTGCTATTCATCAGTTGTCGGGGATCAGTGTAGTGTTATGATTCCAGTTGAATTTGATCAATCACTTGAATTTTTTCTTCATTTTTCAAATGACTTCATATCTGGGTTTTAGGGGTGGGGCACAATTGTGAGAAATAAGGAAAAGCATCTTTGCCACTGCGGCTCTGTCTTCCACATTCGGGTCAATGTGAAGAAGCCTGTAGACTTGCTGCTTTTTATTTGATGCAGTTGCTCTCTGAAGATCTGTCTGTTGCAAAGGGAGAAGATGTCAGGGCTGGGAAGTTGAGGACAGGGTGAGATATTGGTGTATTAGCAGACCTTTCTTATCCCACATATTCTAGATTCAGACTTCTCAAACTTCTGACATTAAGAGTTGAGTAGAATGGATACTGGTTTATCAATACTTAGTTCAATCAGCTGAAGTGATGTCATTGTTCGTCTGACTTAGATCTCAGCTGATGTTTTCTTTAACATTTGCTTTTTATTTAAATGGGTATTTACAACAAGAAAACTAAGAGACAATGTAAGACGTATCAAACCTGTAGCCATAATTGCAGTCTGAAGGCATGAGGCTCTAAGCTGACACCACGTCCTGGAATGTGCCGTTGGGATCCCTCACGACTCTTCCCATGGGCTAGGACCGTGGGCTGCCGGGAGTTCTGCTTGCTATTCCACAAAGCAGCGGGATTTTAGGAACGTGAGAAATGATACTGTAGACTGCAGATTTTTGGTATAAATTCAAATAATTGGGGATTATTCTTGATATGCCTCAATACTTTTTATTATTAAAAGTGCATTTTTTTTTCCCATAAACATGCAAATCGTATTTAAGATTTTCATGTGAATCGTGAGCGTCTAAGTCATTTCTGTGGCATAAATGCAGACTTCTCTTCCTGGTTTAATGGTGCCTGGGTTGTAACAGAAAAGGTGTCTGGGCAAAAATCATAAGGGAAAAACGATTCATATTTTATGTTTGTCTACATTAGGCCTACTCAGGGAATAGAATTTGGGAATCATGTAATAAGAAACCTGCATGCTTGATTGAACATTTGCTTTCTTCACTCTCAGGACATGGAGACATATATTTTAAGGCTTTTAAAATCATTTGGGAGAGATTTTATATAGGCCATAAAATGTATTACCTATCAAAAATAAGAATCATTGAAGAATGTAGTTGACTCATAGAAAAAAAATTTCTAATTTAAACTGCTATTAGTTCTCTTTACAAATAAACTTGGGAAAGTTTTGTTTGCAAACTTTAACCATGACCTTGCTCTGCTTCCATGTATTTAATGTCACTGAGATGATATTTCAAAGAAAAGCCTTTCTGGAAATTGTTTTTCCTTTAATATCCAAAATTGGAACAACAGCACTTACAGGAGCGAGGCTCCAACCAGTGGATCAGCTGTTTGGCATGGAAGTAGAAGAAGGTGCATTGAAACTCAGTACATCTGTGTTTAGCCTTAGGCAGGAAGTCTGTTTCTTCAAGTAAACCTAACATACTAAAGATACTCCCTGCAGATGGCTCGTTTCCGGCCCATGGCAAGGTAGGCAAGGCATAGGGTTTTAAAGGCAGCACCGTCTTGTCTGTCCCGTGGGAACATAAGAACAATCGATTGTTGAAGGAATCCTAGTACTTTTGGCTTCCAGTACAGACAGACAGACGTGCTTCTCTCAACCTTGCTGAAGCAGGCCCAAAATGTTCATACCTAGAACATGGGGACAAAGAAAGAAATTGCGCTTTCCAATATATACCAGTTTCTTCTAGATTCATGTATAGCTCTGAAATGAAGACGAGATTGTTTGCATTGTATTGAAATTATATTATTCGAGCCCCACAATTCTTAGGCACAGAAATGTTTGCCTAGTGTTCAGCACAGCCCAAACAACATTTCCAGATGGGTTGCAATAAGTCAACCTCATCCAGATTTTGTTGCTGCTAGAAAGGTCGTCCCTTGCCATATGTCCTTGCATATTTTTCCTGCCAGCTGTGGGAAGTGACGGGACATGGTTTAATTTGGGCTGCTCTTGTGTTTCTTTATGCCTGCAGCAGACAGGTCTTTTAAAACTTGCCCTTTGCCTCTCCTCCCTCCTATAATTCATTTTTCTTCCTCATTCTTTTTTTTCTGATAGTGCATATTACTTGAGATTTTCCTGGAAAGGGTGTTATTATCTGGAATTGGATCTTCTGCCACCTTCAACAGCCTGAATCCTTGTAGGCTAGCAGCTAACCTAGAGCTGGCAGACTCAAATGGAATCTTGATCTCTTCATAGTTAAGGCTCAGAAAACTCAAAAGGAGTGCTTTGTAAAATACATCTGTTTATGTTATATGTATGATAATTAGTATGAGTACAAAATGATCAGGTGAACTTTAGCGGGGGCTCAGATAGACTTTCCTGTGGATCAAATAAATGGAAATGAAAAAAAGTATGAGGATGCAGATTTGCTCATTGGTCTTCATCTTTTACATTTATTTCTTGTCTTGATCTACTGTAGAATGTTCCAGAAATGTCATTGGGTATAATGTCTGATTTGGCACTGACTTATTTGTGGTTTGCTTAGAGTGTATTTTCCTTGGGCTTTGGGTATATGACTGCCATAAATTTTAATTACACTAATTAGACATAGGTGGACGCTTAAGCCCAGTTGGATTCCTAGCCCTGTTCAGCTGCCTCTGTCATTAGTTTTTCTGGTGACATGGTTTGGCACCATCTTCGAACACATTTTCCGGAAATTAGTTTTAAGTTAGAAAATAACTCGTCTAATAAAGCTACTGACATTCAACTAGTTTCTTTACCTTGTTGGAGAAGTGAACTTGAGTAAAACGCATACATTTAAACTATAACTTGTATTCCGGTTTTTTTCCCTAACTGTGGGCCTTCAGATTGGTTTGGTGCCTAGAGAGGGAGTCGCACCCGATCCTCATGAATCCATGTGCTCGTGCTCGTGCCTAGTTTAGGTGGAGCCTGACTTGGCACAGGGCTGGGCAGCAGGTTTTAACATGTGTGGCAGTACTAGTCAATTGGGGATATCCACATGGCTCATAGTGTAGAGGAAGATTCTGAGGTCTAGACCCAGTAGGGAGGAAGCCAGCTGTGATTAGTGCCATATACCGTGGGCACAGGACGAGGCAGTGTCAGGAGCACCTCTGCCCTGCATCTTCCTTGGAGGATATAGTGCTGTGTGTGCCTGCCGCATCCTTGTTCTCACAGCTCTTTGTGATCTCAGAGAACTGTTTGGATTTTGTTTTTGGGCGAGTATGCCAAACTGTGTCCTCAACAGCACGGGGTTCAGGTTGAGTTTGGCATTTCTAGTTTCTCCCTAGAAACAGATATCCCTCATCTTTAACCTTACTTTCTAGTCTTATTTTTAAAGGATGCTTTAAAAATACAGGCCACATCTGTTTCACTTAATGTGCATTCAACAGCACCTCATGACACAGAAAGTAATGCGATCTGTTTGCCAAGCAAGCACTTGGAAATTTCGAGGTGTGGAAACTGATAGGAGCCTCTGTTTTTCCACCTTGAGGATTGTGGCTCTCTGCATCCACCTACATCATCTCTTGCCAACAACCACACTCACAGGGCTGCCTTTTGTTCTCTCATATATTTACAGGTGTGTTTGTTCATTGTTCAATGCACTCAGCTTTTGTTGAGTGCCCACTTGCTCTCTGCAAGGTGTTTTGAATTCATATGTGGCCAGGGGCTCTTGTGCACGAAGCACAGAAGACATGGAGCATGAGGCTGCAAAGGTTTTCCTTTCTGGAGCCAGATGATGAGTGCATTTCACTTTCGTTATTTCGCTAAGGTGGCTGTCCATGGTTAGGCATAGCCGAGGAGGCGGGAGGCCGGCAGCATTTTTTGGGGTCCAACATGCTGTTTAGCTACTGATGAGGATGAGCAGGAGAAACAAGCAGACTCCCTCTTGCTCTGGGACAGTTTCATGTAGGAAATCAGGAGTCTGAGCCACCCAGAGAGAGCATGGGCATGTTGCCGGCTGCTGGCCTTTTTGTCAGTTCTTTGGAACCAGCATGATGGGGTTATTGTCATCTCGAATCTCAGGCTAAGGGAGCTTCAGTAAAGGACTTCTGCACCACTTTTTAGGACCCATTGTTTCCAAATCCTTTTGAGTGTAAAGGTCACTCAGTGCAATCATTTCACTACTTATTTGGCAAAGGGAGTTTACAGAATCAGTGTGAGACGTGGAGCTGTAAAGATGGCGTTTTTCAGACCGTGATGTCCTTGTTCTCTCCCTGTCTCTCTCGCAGAGTCTCCAACATCCAGCAGCAGCTGGCCCGGCTTGACAATGAATCGTGGCCAGGCACGGCCGAGGCTGACAGGGACCGGCTGCAGCTTGTCAAGGAGAAGGAGGCCCTGCTGCAGGAGCTTCAGCTCATCATCGCACAGCGGCACTCTGAGGGAGACGTGGCCCGGCTGGAGGAGGAGCGGGAGCGCCTGGAAGAGGAGCTGCGGCACGCACGGGCCACCTCCGCACAGGGCGCCACGGAGAGGTGGGTCATGGGGACACGAATTCCAGCAGAAAGCCGGCTGGAAAAACTCCACGGGGTGGCTTGCCTGTGGCTGGAGGGTGTTCCTGATAATTACCTGGAGCCTCTCTCTGCATAAGATGGCAGGTTGTGAAGGCTGGGCCTGCCTTCCACACTTAACAGCAGTTTCTCTGTGGTTATCAGCTGGGCTTTGGAGAACAGCTCCTCCCCCATGTGTTAACGTCTTGCCCCCTTGAGCTCACATGAACAGCTCCACAGAGAAGTTAATAGACATTTGGATGATTTGATCTGTTCAGATGCTCTTATTCCTACTATTTCCCAATGGTCATCTGTATATTGGGCATCCTTTATGCTTGGATGTTCGTGGGTCATCTTCATAGGAGACAAGTCTGTGGCTTGGCACAAGGGGCTCACTGCAGCCTCAGAGGGAAATGGTGGTGTTTGGAGAGTTGAACTCAGAGTCCCAGGCAGGGGAGTTTCATTTTTCCTGAGATGGTGTCTTGCCGTGTCACCTCACCCTGAATAAACTGAGAGTGGAATCTAAATGTCAAAAGGGACTGTGCAGCTGAAGCTTTCTGCTGTGCTCTTGCACGCCTGCAAATTTTTTTAGTTAAACATTTCCTTCTTTTCCACCCTTGGTATTCTCGTATGTATGTTCTGCATAGGAGGGCCTGGGAGCTCCTGTTGCTTCTTTATGAATCAGGGTGGACTTGGCCCCACAAATGCCGCCTGCCCCTCAGGGCCCCACACCCATACTCCCTTGACCGTGGCTACTGTCACCATGTGGAAATCCAGCACACATGAGTGCTGTGGCCCCTGAGTACAAGTCTGTAGCCCTCCATGAAGCCAGTGTTAGCCCCGATGCCTGGGTTCAAAGGGGGGGACAGCAAAGCCGGACCAGCTTTGACTCACATGGGGGTCTCATGTGGGACCAGCCCAGGTGCTAAGTCCTGGGACTCAAGTCCTCAACTAGGACCTAATCACCCCAAGCGTGTTTCCTGAATCTGCTACTAAGTGACCTTGGCCAGAAAAGCACATCCCCATGTGCTAAGCACTTGCACGCAGATCGCGTGGGGGTGGGGCTCTTGTAGCTCTGGACCTTCTGTGCCGGTGCACACAGGGCCCATTTCTCCATGTCACCTCCCTTCATTGGAGGGGTGCTTGCAGTTTACCAGCATGGGGCCACATGGTAGGAGGCTTTGGCTGGCAGCATGGGGACACCTTGCATGGCTCAGGTTCAGAGAGAGAGTGAGGTTGGTGCCTTAAGGCTGAGCTGTGCCAGCTGTGGAACTGGGCCCAGTCTGCCCATCTCGGCTGCAATGTCATCAGCAGCAAATGGGAGGCATGTGCTGGGCTGGGGGTGTCATCAGAGGGACAGAGAGATGTGCTCCTCCTTCAGGCCTCCCACCCATTGGGCCTCCCACCCCAGCAGATGATACATGGCGGCGGCCTCCCAGCTGCTCAGAGCCAGCATCCCTGGAGGGAGCTGGTGCCTGTCTCCTGGGCTGAGGGAGCAGGCTTGAGGTGAAGGACACATACCCTAGATAATCTCTCAGATGGCTCCTGTCAATGCTTGTGACATTCTTTATTTTAGTTTGCTAATGTTAGTGCGTGGCGGGCATATATACAAGATGCTGATGTTCAGCAGAGAACCCCAGGGCTCTGTTGCAAGATGCTTGCCATCCTGAGAAATTCTCTTTCCAAGGATGACTGCTTTTATTATAGGGGTGATTGAAAATGAAAGATGAGTCAATAAGCAAAAATTTGGGCTGGGTGTGGTGGCTCATGCCTGTAATCCCAGCACTTTGGGAGGCCGAGGTGAGCGGATCACAAGGTCAGGAGTTTGAGATCAGCCTGGCCAGCATGGTGAAACCCCTTCTCTACTAAAAATATAAAAAAATTAGCTGAGCATGGTGGTAGAGGCCTGTTATCCCAGCTACTTGGGAGGCTGAGGCAGGAGAATTGCTTGAACCCAGGAGGTGGAGGTTGCAGTGAGCTGAGAT